GTAGAGAATTGCAAAGAGATGAAATGTGCTGCAGGACAGCCAGAATTAAGGAAGACAGCTGACTCCCGGCTGGGCATTGCTGCTAGGTACAGCAAAAAGGCAGAGCTCCAACTCACCTTCTGACAATGGCCCCTGAGGCTATGGGGCTTCGTGGCTGCCAGCGGGGCTGTGTGTGGTCTCTGGGTGGCAGTCACCAGGTGCAGGTTCTCCAGCAGCTCTGGCACACATAGGTTTGGCATCGCCATCTCCAGGCGCACGTGCAGCTCTGAGATCTTATCCTGCTGCTCTTGCAGTTTGTCACTCTAGGGAGGCAGTGAGAAAAATGTCACAAACACAGATCCCAGAGGTGCTGCAGAAGAACTCCAAGGCTGGATTGCACCCTGAAGCGGGGCAGGTTTTGTTTAAGAAAGGACATCCCAGCAATACCTGCAGCTTATACTGCTCCATAGCATCCTCCAAGGCAGCCAGGAAATCCCGGTTCTCCTCCTCCAGGCGCTCCACTTGTCTCTGCAGGTTGGCCACGTGCTTGTCCTTGATGGCCTCACAGCCTTTCTCAGTGCTCGCCTGCCCCTGGGATACAGAAGAGACATCAGTCTGCAGATACAGGACAGGCAGACAGTGTGTCCGAGCCCAAACCCCCCAGCCGTTTGCTACCTGAGCTTTGGGCAGCTTGCACCCCTGTGCCTCGAGGCTCTGATCCTCTGCAGAAGTGCTCTCGATGCCGCTATCCAGCCCGGCCGAGGTCAGCTCGCTCCTCTCGCTCTCCACCGCACACAGCCACTCCTTCACCCGCAGGATCTGCTCCACGGTCAGGTTGCTGTCCTCCTGCAGCTCCATCAGCAGCCGGTAAGCGGCATCTGTGCAGGTGCGGTAGTGCGCGCACTCAGCCAGCAGCCGAGCGTTGGGCTCCTGGGGGCAGCGCTTGGTGGCGTCTGAGCGGTTGATGATGCGTGTCTCGGAGCGGTGCCGCTGCTCCAGCGCCTTCTGCAGGTTCTTTATCTGCAGGTGGAGCTCCTCCACCTGCTCTGTTTCCTTGCGGCAGTTCACCACCGCTTTGTTCTGGATATTCTGAGCTCGGCTGGCGTAGTTCAGTGTGTTGAGGCTCTCGTCGAAGTCAGAGGAGGAAGGGCTGACGCACGCTATCATCACAGTCTGGGCATTGCCCCCCAGGGAGTCCTTCAGGATCCTGCACAAAGCACAGACAGCGGTGACTGAGATGGCTGGGATGCATGGTAACACAGCAACCAGAAGGTTTCCAGTCCTTTCCAGAGGCTAAACCCAAACAGAATGATACACGTGCTCTGCACTACTGAAGAGAGCAGAATGATTAAACAGAATCATAGAATTGTTTGAGTTGCAAGGGATCCCTAAAAGTCATCTGGTCCGACTCCCCCATACTGAACAGGAACACTGACAGCTGATCAGAGCTCAGAGCCCTGTCCAGCCCAACTCTGCGTGTCTCCAGGGACGGGGCATCCACCACCCTTCTAGGCAACCCGTGCGAGTGCCTCACCATCCTTACTGCTAAAAAAATATTTCTTCCTTATATCGAATCTACGTGTCCTCTCTTACTGTTTGAAATAATTTCCACTTGTCCTATTACAACAGACCCCACTAAAGAGTCTGCCCCCTCATTCTTACAGCCCCCTTAGGTACTGAGAGGCCACTCTCAGGTCTCCCCAAAGCTTTCTCTCCTTCCAGACTGCGCTGCCCCAGCTCTCAGTCCTTTAGATGTGTTCCATCCCTTGGTCATTTTTGTGTCTCTCCTCTGGATGTGCTCCAACAGGTCTGTGCCTCTCCTGTACTGAGGACTCCACCTTTGGATGCAGTACTGCAGGTGAGGTCTCACGGAGCAGAGGCAGGATCTCCTCCCTCGCCCTGGTAACCACTCTGCTTTGGATGCAGCCCAGAATACAACTGGCTTTTTCAGATGCAAGGGCGCACTGCAAACTTATGCCTAGCTGCCATCCACCAGTACCCCCAAGACCTTTTTGGTTGGTCTGTCTTCCATCCTTACATCCCCAGCTTGTACTGACAGTGGGGTTTGCTGTGACCCAAATGCAATACCTTGCTCTTGGCTTTGTTGAGCCTCATGAGGTTCTCCTGGGTATAGTGCTTGAGCCTGTATAGATCTCTCTGAATGGCAGAGGATAGAGGAGTAACAACTTGCATCGTGACCAAGTTTCTACCTGAACAACTGTTGGAGCCAGGTACCACCCAATTCTGTGCTCACTGGCGTGAAAGCAGAAGGGATGACTTGCCCTGTGAGCTTCTCCTGTTCAGCCTGGGGTCTGTGCCAGCAAACCAGGTAGGCTGGGCATGAGGAGGACCACCAAGACGCCTCACGTCCCTGCTGCTGGGCCACCAGCCTATGGGATGTGTGGAGTCCCATTCCCCATTTGTACCTGGTGATTTTGGAATCCCTATAAGGAATGTGGCTGCCCTTCCTCCGAGGGTCCCCCAAAGCACTGATGACGTTGCCCAAGGCCAGCAGCCCGCTGTTGATCTGGATGCTCTCCTTCAGCTTCTCCCCAGTGTTTCCTGTCTTGACGATCCGTTCTGAGCCTGCCAGGTCCACAAAATGGAACTTGGAAACCAGGACCTGCCCCGAAGCAGGGATGGTGGGCTGGTTGGAGAGGGCAAGGCGAGTGACACGGCCAGCGCCGCGCCGCTGCTCCATCGTCACCGTGAAGATGGTGTGTGAGCGGCTCGACTGCGCGTTGATGTGCGTGGCGCCCGTGTGCTTGGCCGTGTTGCCCATCTCCAGCAGGCTCAGCACCTCATCCAGTCCTTCCACCTCAGACTCCTTCACACCGCAGAGCACTGCAACGGCAAATGGATAAGGGACCCAACAAAATGACAAAACCAAACAATGGCCTTTGAGGAGAAAAGGAAGCCCAGGGCAGCTGCACATACCGATGTTGCCCTTGTCATCCTCTCGGATCTGGATGTCTTTGCTGGCCGTATCCACCTGCAGAAGGTCCCGGAACTCCTCCTTGTACACCTCCACGTAGGACACGCGCACTGTGTAGTCAATGAGGTCGTTCTCGTCGATGAGCTGGAAGGTCTCTGCCATGGCTCGTGGGATGATGCCCTGCTCATCCTCATTGATGGAAGCTGGCAAAGAGACATGGACATGATCATGGGTTATGGCTTGTGCCTGAAGCCACGCTGGCTGGGGATGGGCTGGAGCCAGGGCTGCAGTGTGGGTTTCATCAGAGGGGAGCAGCCCCCCCGGCCTTCCTAGAGCCCTGCACTGCCTAAATTCAAATTCCTGCAAGGATTTTAGGACTTAGGGAAAACCTCACCACTGCACAGTGGTGGTGGACTCATGCAACAGTTCTTCCTCAAGAAGAAAAAAGGATGTCAGCGTTCCCACTGATAACAGATATTGAGCGCAAAGCTAAAGAGTGTTGCCCTTAGGAGCCAGCATTTCCCCATCAGCTCTCCCAGCTCATTATCTGCCTGCTCTGCCATTGTGATCTTAAGCTGTTCTGCTTTTGTCTCCAGCAGCCATGCAGAACTGCAGCTCCACACCTGGAGCTACAGCCTGAGCTGAGAGCGAAGCAGAGACGAATCTCAAAGTATGGACATAACTCAGCGTTCCCAAATGGCGAAGTTAACCAAAGCTGACCTGTGGCCACACTCACTAAGGTAACTATAGATCCAATAATACCACTGAAACAACTTTGGAAAGAGGGATGGGTGGGATGGGGGCGATGGGACGGCGGCAGGGGATGGGATGACGGGATGGGGATGTGATGAGATGAGCTGGGCGGGAAGCCGCTGCCCGCCACTCACCGACGCTGGCTTCCCCGATGGTGTAGGTCTTGCCGGATCCCGTCTGCCCGTAGGCGAAGACGGTGGCGTTGAAACCCTGGAAGAAGGCCCGCAGCAGCGGCCGGACGCAGGCGCCGTACACGGCCTCCTGCCCCGCCGCCTCGGGCAGCACGGCGGCGAAGCGGAATCGGCGGCGGTGGCCCAGCGCCACCTCCCCGGTGGCCGCATCCCCGCGCAGACAGGAGCGGTGCCCACGCAGCACTTCCTTGGGCAGCAACGGCCGTACCCGCACCGCCACCCGCACCGCCGCCCCCTCCGGGCCCATGGCGGGGCGGAGCGCTGCTCGGCGCGCTGCGATGGCGTCAGGCGGCTCCGCCCGGCGGAGCGGTGGGTGGGATCGGGGCGCGATGTGCTGCGCCGCTCCTGAGGCGCTCGTAGAGTGGTGCGATGGCGTGGGTCGCAAGGGGTCTTAGGACCGTCCGGTTCCGTCCGCTGCCGCAGGCTGGTTGCCGCCCACCGGATCGGCTTTGCTTAAAACCCCATCCCACCCGATTGGAGCATCCGCAGGTTTTTGGGCAGGCGGTGCCGGGGCCTCGCTGCCCCGTGAAGAATTCCACATCTGCTCGTACCCACAAGTCCATCACTTTTGAGGTTCTCCATCACTTGTGCTGTGGTCCATCACGATGCTCCCCACCGCCGGAGGTGCTCAATTGCAGGCTGGATGGGGCCCTGGGCAGCCTGAACTGATGGGTGGCATCTGGCCCGCAGCAGCAGGGTGGAGCTGGGTGATCTTTAAGGTCTTTTTCCATCTTAGTCATTCTGTGACCGATCACAGCATGCTCCATCAGCCTTGAGATGCTTTATCATCTATAAGATGATCCATTAGTTGTGATGCACTCCATCACTTCTGAGACGCTTAATGTGCTTTGAGACACATCTTCCATTATGAGATGCTCTGTGGGTGATCCTCCAGCCTCCATGAGAAGAGACAAAAGGACCACATGTCCCAGCTGAGGAGCAGCAGCGTGGGCAGCCTCCTGGGATACTCTGCAGCCAGCCCTGCGTGCTGGGAGGTGACAAGGCCAGCCCCGGCACTGACGTACTGTGGGGATGATCCAACCCATAGCAACATTTTGAATCCCGCTGCCTGCAGCTGCAGGCAGTACCCCGTAGCCCTGGCAGGTCCTCTGGGTGCACGTGGAGGAGCTGGGAGTGCTGCCATGGGGCTTCGGCTGCGCAGGAGTGCCAGCTTCACCCCTGAGCACCCGGCCCTCCTGGAGCTGCCCAGCCCTGTCGCCCTGAGAGCAGAAGCCAATGTGCTGGTGATGGGAGCAGACAGCGTGGGGAAATCAGGTGAGGAATGAGCGCGAGCTGAGAGCTTACAGGCAGGGAAAACCATTTCTACTGCAAAAATAGGCTGCAGACTGCAGCGGGGTTTGCAGAATGAGCTGCAGAGAGCAGTCCTGCCTCTGCTGGTGTTCAGAAAGGGGAAAATCAGAGGTCGGTCCCAGCAGTGGGAGTTTGTGGGGGAATGGATCCTGAGTGTGTTCAGGTCTAAGCTGTGTGTGGGCTGGGTTTAAGATGAAAGTCTTAGAGGTTCGGGATTATTTTGTGATCCTTGTTCTCCCCTTTGCAGCCCTGACTGTACGTTTCCTTACGAGGCGCTTTATCGGGGAGTACGGAGACATGGGTGAGTGCTGACCATGCCAGCCCCGTTCCATTCCTGTTAGGGACAGGGAGGTTGCAGGGCGAGCCAGATCCTCCTGCAGGGTTTGGTTCCTTCCTGTCCTCTCCCATACTATTCTATAGCTCCCCAGAGGCTTGATGTTCATGTTTGATCAGGAGCTGTACTGTCATTGTACTGGGGTGCAGAAAGTGCAGCTGTGCGTGGGCTGAGTCAGGGACAGCCCTGGGTCCCTAAAGGTTCTGGAGGAGATCAGCTGTGAGGGAACTGTTTGTAGAGACAAACAGTCTCAGACTCATTTTTTTTGGGCAGAATTCATCTACAGCCACACGGTGACCGTGGATGGCCGAGAGGTTCTCTTCCACATCTGGGATGTCCCCAGCTCGCAGGTGAGAGGGCTCCTTCCCATTGTGTGCCCTCCTCCTAAAGAGGAAACCCAATCCGTTCCTTTTCCCCGTTCCCCAGGACCAGGCTGATGATGGTTCCTCGGAGGAGAAACGAATCCAGTGGGCAGACTGCTTCATCCTGGTCTACAGCATCTGCGACCGCGCCAGCTTCAACCTCCTGCCCCTCAAAGTGCAGTTCATTAGGGCGGCCAAGGAGGGGCAGGAGCAGGTGCCCATCGTCATCGTGGGCAACAAGCGGGACCTGCAGCACCGGCGGGCTGTCTCCAGCGAGGAGGGACGGCTCCTGGCCCTGTCTCTGGACTGTGGTTTCTATGAGGTCTCTGCAGCCGAGGCCTACCACGGGGCTCTCATGGTGTTCCATGGGCTGGCTGAGCGCATCCCCGACACCAGGCTGAAAAGAGGTGCCGGCATCCGAGGCATCGTCAGGACTGTGTCAGCAGTGTTTGCCCGTAAGCGGACGGACTCGCTCTGAGCAGCGTCTTTGTTTCTTGTTGCGTAGCTGGATGAGGCCTCCTGTGTTCTGTGCAGATTGGATGTGTTCCAGGAGAGCGGCAGGTTCTCCAAACCCCAGGATCTGGGTCTCTGGCTGTATGTGACCAGCAAGGCAAGGGCCTTCCTCTGCTCAGCCCTCAGCTCTTGGCTCTGTTGTTGTCTGCAGCATCCCCAGCTCCTTCTGTGGGCTAGCAGGGAGGACATGCAGCTATGTCCTGCTCCGTGTCCCTGTTGTCACCCTGGCATCCTGGCCGTGCCAGTACTGAGCCTGGAGGACAGCAGGCAGAGTCCTTCACCCTCCATCCCATTGCATCTCATCCTCTCCCACCCCATCTCATCCTATGTGACTCCAAGCAGTACTGTGCTGCTGACCTCCCTCCTGCAGCCTTTTGGTGACAGCCCAGGCTCAGCATGGGAAAGTCAGGCACTGGGCTTTTTCCCAGGGTGTGGGACTGTACCGTGTGTCTCATAAATGCAGACCTCTGAGCCTGCCTGTCCCTGGGGAGGAAGGGGAGGGAGGAGGGGGGCAGGGAGGCCTTTCCCCTTCTCTGCTGTTCCTGGGAATGCAGTGTGTAGGAAGGAGGTTGTGTATGTGTAGTGCAGACAGAGATTGCTCTGCACTGTTCTGCAAATGGAATAAATCTTTGGCAGGAAGCCCCTGGTGGCTCTGAGTTTGTACTCCAGGCATAGGAAGGGGCACGTACAGTGTTGGGCACTGCCCAAGCACTGCAAGAAGCCCTCTGCACCGTCAGTGCTCTCCCTCCCTCAGTGTTCCCAGCCCTTTAAGGCTCAGCAGCCAGTAGGCAGCTCTTGTAAAGCAGACTATGCAAAGGGTGATGGGGGGTAAGGGGGAAGGTTTATTACTGCAGCAGGTACAATCACAAGTTGTGGGAATGGGGCCTTCCTGCAGGAGGCTGGGGTACCGGTGCTCTGGTCTTGTCTCTGACCCCAAAACCGTGGAAAGAAGGATGAGGACCCAGGGTGCCCCGAGCTGTGGGTGCCCCATCCCTGGAGGTTCTCAAGGCCAGGTTGGATGGGGCCCTGGGCAGCCTCAGCTGGTGGGGGCAACCGGCCCATGGCAGGGGAGTGGGACTGGATGGGCTTTAAGTCACTTCCAACTCAAGCCATTCTGTGATGATTCTATGTTGTTCTGCGATGTTTGATGGTTGTGTTGCCCTCCGGTCCATCTCAGTGCTCTGTACCTCACCTGTCTGACACTGCTTCTTTAACGGGCAGCAGCTGGCCCAGTGTCAGAGCTGGCTGGTCCCTTTTTCTTCTTCACTCATCCCCTCTTCTCTTATCTACTCCTCCAACAGCAGCCCCTTGGGCTGCCTTTATTCTCCTCTTGGCCCCAAGGAGGGGACATGCCCTGGCACAGCTGTCACCGAGCCTGGAGCAGAGCAGGGACCCTCAACCACGGATGGGCAGATGGACAACCCAAGATGGACAACCATATCTGTGCCATGTTGGGGATGTGGGTAAGCAGGCAATGTGGGATGTGGGTACGTGAAGGCAAAGCGTGCTGGGGGCAGTTTGGGGCCGAGGTTCTCCCCCTCAGAGTCACTCCTTCTTGAAGGCTGGGCTGTAGAGGTTGGCATAGTAGGCCCGGCTGTACATGGCCTCGGGGCTGAAGCGGTAGGAGCCCTCGCTCACGCGCCGGCTGTAGGGCGCGAAGGCCGATTTCCGCGGCACAGCCTCGGGCTCCAGGGCTGAGCTGCGGTACAGATTGCTGCGTATGAAGAGAGGGTCCTCCAGGCCCAGGAAGGACAGCGGGTGGTGGCCGCGGTACAGCCGCCAGTCACCCCTCAGCTGGGCCTTCTCCTCGGCGCTGGTGCCCACTGGCTTGCTCTCCTCCTCCTCCTTCTGCTCGGCCTCAGGACCCGGCTTGCTGCCCCGCGCCGCCGCCTCGTCCTTGGACTGCCTGCGGAGCTGAGGGCTGGGCTAAGCAGTAGGGCTCTCCCTGGGGAGACTTTGGGACGGGAGGTTTGTCCCCATGGAGGCCCTCAGAGTAGGGAGTAGGTGACCGCAGGACAGCCCCGGGGGAGAGCAGGTAGGAAGAGGACGGGTGGAGGAAGGGAATGTGGTCCCAGTATTAACCTGTGCCTCGCCTTTATACAGGGAGTGGACCAGAAGGGGTTTTGCTGGAGGTGGGTGGGACCCGATCCCTGTGTGTCCCCATGGTGCTGGGATGCACTCACCGGCACGTAGCTGTACAGGCTGCCCAGCAGGTGCTTAGGGGCACTGATGAGCGTCCCTCCCAGAGCATCCACCGTCTCCATGGCTCTGGACAGCCTGCGGGGTGTGAACAGGATCAACCCCTCTGCCGCGTCCCAGGCCACAGCAGGGACCTTCTTCATGCTGGAGATGCCAGAGGCACAGGCACTCTGCAGGTTGTGAGCCACGCTGCCCACCAGTCCAAGGCCATCCCCTGCCTGCAGACAGAAAACAGCGTCACTTAGGGTAGCCCCCCCAGCCCTTTGGGACCTCACACTTCTGCTGCAAGTGAAGGCGAAGGGCACCGACCCTGACCCGCAGCTTTCTGTCCCCATGTCCCAGCAGAGCTGCTACCACCAGGGAAAGTCCTCCAGCCCGTGTGCTGTCAGCAGAGCCCCCCCAGACCCAGGGTCCTCCTGTTCACTCCTGGGACCACAGTGGGAGTATGTTTTGTATTGAGACCCCAAACCAACAACTGGGAGCTAGGTGCCAATTCGGAAATTGGAGCACTGCCTGGCCCAGAGGCTGTCGCAGCCCTGTTTGGGAGTTCAGAGCTTTTTCTCCTAAGGTGGACTGAGCTAGAGATGCTGGTTGCTGGGTCCTTTGGATCGCACCCAGCCCCTGGGAGAATGCCAGAAGGGAAATGCCTTGATTTGGTTTGCTGGAGAAGAGGCCGAGAACATGGTGGGATCAAGATGATGCTCTGGAATGACCCCATCTCACCACTACCTCCATTTTTCCCTACCTCACCAGCATGGCTGTCCTCCTTCTTCTCTGCCTTCTCCTGCTTCTGCTCCGGCACCCTGCTCTGCCTCCAGCTGCCCGCAGTGCTCTGCCTCTCACCATGGCTCTGCGGCACCATAGGTGGGCTCGGCTTGGCCAGACTGCCCTGCAGGGGGGACAGAAACCAGTGCTTGGGGTGAGTTCCAGGCCCCAAGGCTTTGAGACAGGCTGGGACTCACCAAGATGGGGATCCAGACGACCAGTTCCTGTCCTTTGGCTTTGGCACGCTGGAGGTTCTGGACAGTGTGCTGGTAAGCACGGTGAGAGGCGGTGCTGACCAGGGCTCCAATCCGGCCCAGAGTGCTGGGAGCACTGCTGGGAGCACTGGGAGCCCTGTATGTCCTGGATTGCTGCTGGGAGACCTTTGCTGGTCTACAGGTCTTCTTGGGCTTCAGATCTAAAGGTAGAACAGCACAGGGAGAGTGTGGGATGTTACAGCCTGGTGGGACAGCCCTGCACCAGGATCTTTTTCTTTCCACCTACACCCCATCAGTGAGTCCCCATCTCCATGGGGACCGCTTTGGGTGCTTCCTCCACCCCAGCAGACCCCTGCCTTACCAGGACACCCCTCTGCAGACACCCCGAGGTGATCTTGGCACCGATACTACCTGCTTCCTCCTCCTCTTCTGGCAACAGGTACTCCATCAGCTTCTCCAGCCCACCCAGGGCAGTGTCCATCCCGGCGGCTGCCATCTGGCTCACTGAGTTGCTCCTTGTGTACCTTGCTGTTGTCTCCACTGTGGTTCTGGTTGTCTCATAGCCACCCACCGCCAGCCCCAAGATCTTGTCCATGGAATACCCGATGGTGCTCTTGGCACTTTGGATGGGGGTGGAGATGGTGTCCTTCAGTTTGGAGGCAAGCTGCAGGCAGAGAGACAGAGAAGAACCCTTCTGATGTGCTCTGGATGGCACAGAGCAGCTGGAGAGACCAAGGGCCATGCAAGAAGACATCCCCTAGAGCAGCAGGACGATATCCTATAGCCTGGGCTGCAGGTAGCCAGCCATGCAGGACCTGCTGGCCTATATTTAGGAGCAATCCAACCACACCTGTGGCCAAGTCCTTGCTTTGAGGTGCCCTCTGGAAGCCCCTTGCCATCACTGGTTGCCAGGTGAGAACCAGGGCTTTGGCCCAGAGGAGAAATCCTGTGGGCTCTGCAGGGGGGCTGGAGTGTCTAGAGGGTCCCAGAGGCTTTCCCACCCATGACTTACCTTCTCAACAGGATACTGAAGGGCTGGGATCTTCTCCTCCAGGTGGTCCAAGCCCCGACATGCCAAATTGTTGGCCACGGAGACTGCCTTGGGCAAAAGCATGCAGGGTGGAGATTAAGGCTGGGGGCTGTGCCAGGGGTGAGTGCAGGTGGTGTCCCACTGTTGGATACCCCATCACATCCCTGCTGATGGACTCACACTGAGGCTCCAGCCTGCGTACCACAGGCTCCACGCTCCACATGGCCAAGGCGCTGGCGCCCTTCACTCCCTGCTCATAGACACCACACACCGAGGCCACAATTGGGTGGATCTCTTTGGTGCTGCTGTAGGTCCGCTGCAAGCTTTCACAGGTTGAGCTCACCACCGGCAGCTGCAGGATGCGCTGCAGCACGTTCTCCTGTGCATCAGATGGGGACCAGTTAGGGGCCAGCCAGCAGCCACTCCTCAAGAAAAGCTGAGTCTGGCTTCATGGCCTGATTCGTCTGTGAATCTGCATGTTCAACAAGGAAAATACACCTCCTGCTAATTTTATCTTGACATGGAGCCAGCTGACCCAGAAATCCCATGGATAAATACAGATACATGCTGATAGGTCCTATTAGATCAAGGTTACCTTTGTTGATTTTCGTTTACTTTATTTCAGGCATGTGAGTGATGATACTTTGATGGCTGCTCTGTATTATTACAAGCAAAGATAACACACAAGACAGCACGGTATGAGCTATTCCCCTCCTCCTGTTTCCTCTCCCTCTCCCCACACTCACCTTGGCCCTTCCATTCTGCAAGGGCTGATTCTTCTTTGCCGTCATTGTGCCACGTCCTCCTGCAAAGCAAAGTGCAGAGCTGCAGAGCGTGCAGTGAGGTCTGAGCCAGGCTGGGGCTCAGAGCGTGATGTGCAGGGGTTGGGCTGGGCCACACAGCTCCCCTGGGAGCTGTGATTGTGGCACTGCCCAGGCTTTGACTTTTGACCAGTTAAACCCCAGAGCCAATGCTCCACACGCTCTTCCTCTGCTGGGGCAGCCCGTCCTCACTTGGGTCCTGTGCCTGGGCTGTGTGGTGTTGGGGCACTACTACCCCCAGGCTCCACCTTCAACCTGGGCTGGGCTAGGGGGGCATGAGTTGCTGGGGAAAGTGGGCAAACAGCTCCCCAAAGGCTCCCATCTTGGGGGATGGATGGCTGCAAAATCATCCCTGTATGTCAAATGAGGAGATGATGAATGCAGAAGAGATTAAGACCTGCCTGTGTTTGTGCAGTACTGTGGCAGCACACCAAGGCGCTGAGGAGAAGAGGAGGATAGGGTATAGAATGTGTGAGTGTGCAGCTTGGGTTTGGAGCAGCACAGACGATGGAGTTGAGGGAGGGATGGAAAGGTGGCTGTGGTGTAGCCAAGCAGCAGGACAGGAGGGTAAAAGGACTTTGAGTGGGGATGAGCAGGAGCACTTTCCCTTATCACTAATAAAGGAAGGGATTGTTGGCACAGGGAAAGTAGACCTGGCTGGATCCTTACTCACCTGGACCAGCAGGACAGGCATATGGGCAGTGTCCTGCGAGAGGAACAGGCTGCCCAGGGAGGTGGTGGAGTCACCATCCCTGGAGGTGCTCTAGAACTTTGGGGATGTGGCATTGAGGGATGTGGTCAGTGGGCACGGTGGGGGTGTGCTGATGGTTGGACTGGGTGATGCTAATGCTCCACGACTCCTGGAAGAGCCTGGGCTTGCTCACAGCCCTGCATTAAGGGGCTCATCCTGTGCAGAGGCACACAGATGTCTGTCAGGGTTTGGCACAGTGCTGCAGTGATTCAGGGCTCTCCAGACAGTGGGACAAAGGGCAGCAGCCTGCTCACGGGTTTCCTCTCTTGGCCACGGTGAACAGGCATGATACCAGGGGCAGCGTCAGCCTTCCCTCTGCCCAGTGAGAGCAGGGATCAGCAGACAGCACAGCCTCTGCCCTTCCTGTGGGGCTCAGTCTTCCTGGGCAATCTCTTCAGTGTTTTGTTTTACAGAAGTTTCAAACGTCATTGCCCACAAGATTTAATTCTCCTTTGTGGCAACAGATATGTATTACCCCTTGGGTGGATTGGAGACTAATTTATTGCCTTCCACTTGACAGAAAACCCTCCACACGCCCTCCCTCAGTCACCTTTCCTCTACAAAACAGCTCACTTGATCCCTCCCTGGAGATGTTGCTTTTCAGACCTTTGATTGCTCCTGCTGCTCACCTGGGAATGTTGAGCAGCTCACTCTTCCTGAAATACCATGCCAAGTGCAATGTTAACATTAGGAAAGCCTTGTCTATGAGTAGATTACTTATCTTGCTTACTATTCTGCTGTTAATTGCTGCTATTATGAAATGAGTGTAAGAGCAGTTATTCAGAAGGAAACTCTTGCTAAATTGTTACTGAATGCAATGCTTTGTGTGTTGTTCAGGGAACGACATTTTGGAGCCTTCACGTTTGCAAAGTTCTTGCTGCAGGGGATAGGAGTAAGCAGTAAGCAGTGAGCTACCAGCAAGAGCTCACTTTTACTGGTTATCCCTTCTCCATCTCTCCCCATCTCAGCTGGAGATGCTATCCTTCACTCTGCCCTTAATTCATCATTAAACATCTGTAACAGCTTCAGAAATCCCAGTGATATGAGAGGGAACTCCTTCAGAACCTCTTTTCCCCATCCTCAAAGCCACACACAGATGCAGTGTTATACGCATCAAAGTTTATTGCTTGTGTTCAAACAGCTCTCCTTATTCCAACTGTCGTATGAGGAACATACACAGAAAAGGCACTAAAAGGATTTTCTCCATTTGATTGCAATTCTATGGCTTCAGTCACGTTACATTAAGGTACATTAAACTGCTAGCCCCCAGCAGGGGAGCAGAAAGGCAGTATTAGTGCTTAACATCCACTAAAGTTACTCCTGTATGCTCTGATCCATGTTATGCCAAATGGAGGTAAGGCTGAGGAAGGCTGAAAAGTCATTGTCCCATGTCCCAGGTTAAGTCTGTACTTGCTGAGCCACCCCAGCCCCTCCAGGAGGAACATCAAGGTCTGCTTTGTGACTTTGCACAGTGTTTGCTTGGCACAGGGATGTGCATCTAGCCAGGGCCACATCAGTGTGTGAATCCATTCCCCCTTGCCTATGAACTACATAGGAAAAAGAGGAATCAGTCTGCAGACCAGTGTAAGATCTGTTTTGTACCCAAGAGGTCTCCTGAGAGCAATTCTTAATGCGGCTCTTGCAAGAAGAAAGATTCTGTAGGCAAAGAGTGCCCAGGGTTCTGCTGATACATCACCAAGACTCCTCTCCTTTCCTTACTGGGTTGCTGACACTGGGATAATACTCAAATCTGACCAAGGGAGGGATTGGCCTCACAGTGCCAGCAACTCAAAGGCACATTGTATAAAGAAACTAAGAAACAACAACAAAAAACCCAACTGCTAAACAAGTAGCAAGAAAAAACCCTTGAAGACAACAATGCATTCATTATGGCCTGGCCTGCAGAGTGCTCTACTTTTAGTGGTATTCATTTCCATATTAAAAAGAAGAGCTGCTACAGGCCATATTCGGTCTTCAGGCACACTTAATTACCCTGCTCAGCAACCTCTATTTTCAAACACTTCATTGGCAGCCTAATGCTTCAGGTTCAAAATGGAAGTAACTCCAAGCCAGGACCACAATGACTTCAGGTAAACTGGGACACTGCATTTCCATGCCTGCTCAGTTCCACAGCCTCCTCCTTTAATAAAGGTGACTGGCACCTTTTAATTCTGTTTACAGAGAGTATCAGAAATCATAATCAAGTATGTTGGTCCTGGTTAGGATAATCTCTATTCGCATCTCCTGACTGATTAAACAAGCAGCCCTTACAGTCAGAAA